GAGAGAGAGAGAGAGAGAGTGATAGAGAGCCGGGCCTAGAGAGAGTGATCATATTCATCTCGCAGCGCCGCCTCACCCATGACTGAACCGCATCAAGGCATCAAGGCCCCACACCCTACAAGCTCCCTCTTCTAGTATAATCATCTTTCCCGCCCGACCAGCCGCCTTATTGGCGAGAACGAGACCAGACCAGACCAGACCAGACCGTCGGCGTTGTCTAGTTTTCTCGTCTTGCGTCCCTCCCATCGACTCTCCACCATCACCATCTACCACCGTATGCCTTTTCCCCTACATCCCCACGCCACAAGAAAAAAAAAAGAACGCTGTGCCATCAACAACAAAAAAAAATCGCTTCCATCAACAAGAAAAATGTGCTGTCATGGACGTCTACGCGGTTGCCAACCAACCCACCTGGATCTTGTAGTTGGAGGAAGAGATGCCGTCGATGACGATGGTAGGCGGCCTGCTGGGGTCCAGGACGGACTGGAAGCCGGTTCCGTGGACGGGGAAGTGCTTGGTGTGGGTGGTGTAGATGTGCATCTCGCCTTCGGTAATGGTGGGATCTTCGAGGATGGTGGCGACCTTCACGCCCTTACCACCGCCGAGCTCGATCTGACAGTCGGTTATGTTTCGTTCCATACCGCGCCGCATACCGTGCCGCAAGCGCGCACGGGATTGGGGGGGGGAGTGCCGAGTGTTAATTAAAACCGTGTGGGATTCAGTGAACATCTTTGAGAGGTGCGTACACTAGTGACGGAGGGAGGATTTTGCGTCCCCTTTCACTCTTTCACGCACGGCGTCGCCACAAATCAATCCCTCTTCCCTCATCAAAAACGCCTTCCAAACATGCTCAAGAAACCTCACAGAAAAGAGTTAAATATCACGTATCAAACGGTAATCACACACAAATAACTGTTTGTGGAAGACTCAAATGATAGCAATGGAATGCTGTGCTTGCTGTTCAGGGACCACACGTAAAACGGTCATCACACAAAGGTTTGTCTCAAACAAGACTCAATGATAGCATTGAAAATGCCGTGCTTGCTGTATAGGAGGACAAAACGGTGATCACACGAGGGTTTGTTCATGGAAGACTCAATGATAGCATTGTAAAACGCCGTGTTTGCTGCAGGGAGGAACATATTATCTTCCCACGACGACGAGGATAAAGTGCAGACGCTACATAACGTTTCTTGTCGTCACCTCGCCATCGCCGACGTTGATGCCCTTCACCATCAGAGTACCCCCGTACTTGCTCCACAGGGAACCGTCCGCGAGGTCGAGCTTGAGCTCGGTCTCGGACACCACGGTAACCGTGTAGTTGTCGGGGGCCCAGATGGGCGGGTCAAAGTTGAGCACTGGCTCGCCCTTGAAACCAGTGCCTAGGATCTGGAGCGGCTGCTTGGAGGACTGTGGAAAGAAAACACCGGACCGCCGACAAAAACAACAAAACACATCAGAGGGACACTCCCGTAGGTAGGTAAGAATAGAGAAAAATAAACGCAACAGGTGTTTTTTTACGCCTGTATTGTCCGATCGTCGACAGCAGCACAACACATGAGCATGCCGGTGGCAGGAATCGTTTTGGGTCTTGTGTTTTCCAGTCGTTGGCGGGTGAATACTGCATTGCTGGGAGCTGAGAGTGCTATGTTTTGCAGCAGCTTTCCACCTACGCACAATAATCCTAGACTCTTGCATGTCTGGATTAGAGACGAACAATGGCTACACGTACCTACAGTACAGCGCAGCATGCGGGCGCTGCTAGCGTTGCGGTTCTCGAGTACGAGCGAAATCATGGGCTTCCCTGGTTAGATTGAGGTCCCTCCCGCGTGCGAGCGAGTAAATGGTCTCGCCTGGCTATAGGGCGTACTCTTATGTTTTGCATGCCTTAGCGGTTAGACCATTGACCACGCCTCCTCGAGAGGACCGAGCATTGTTCCCACACGACCGATGGCCGATGGCCGATGTCCAATCGTCCCTTCCTTCCTTCCTTCCTTCCTTCTGTTTGATAGGGGTAGAGTTTTTACGGCTAGGTGGGCATGGGCTTGCCTGGTACTTGGGCTGGCCGTAGGACGGGTAGACCTGCACACCGCTCTCGTGCACGTCCGAGTCCGAGACAACCTTCGCCACCGTCACCGGGGAGTCGAACGTCACCATCCCGGCGCCAGTGTCCAATCCCTGGGACGAAAAAGCGCACACAGAGGGCGACAACAAAAAACACACACACCAAGACATGAGCGATGAAAACAATCGTCAGCCGCAAGGTTTGTCAGGATAAACCGAGACTGAGGACAATAACGGGGCTGGTTCATGACCCCGCAATGACACCGTCCGTCAAAGTACAACAACTTTCACACCAGCTTTGCGACATTTTTCCACAAAGACGCCTTGCACTTGTGATCGTTTCTCAACTCAACCCCGGGGGGGAAACGCACAGCTATCCCGCGTCACGCCCCGGACAAGTACCAACACGCCATGTACTCTCCTGCGTTCGTTTTAGGGGAAGGTGTGCAGCACGGTATACATACCCTTGCCAGCTCCGCATAAACGATGGTACAGCAGGGAAAGGAAACCGGTGACATACTACAGACCTTGATACCTTGATGGTCATGCCGTACCCTGCCTTGGAAATTAGGTGACGGGGGCGCGGGAGCTACGCTCTAGCCAATCAACGACTTTCTTCAACAACCAGTGGTATTCTACAATACAATACAATACAATACAATACAATACAATACACCACCTTCTACACCAGGGCAGAGAAAACCATCGACGCCCGGCTAAAATCACAACCTATCCGCATGCAGCACAGTACCTTGATGGTCAGGTCGCCGACGTTCTCATCAGCGGTCCACTGAGAAGAGGTGGTGGACAGACTCAGCGTGATCATCGTGCGGTTGACCACCTTCAGCGTGACATCCCAAAAAGACGTCACAGACGATCACAACATCAATGGGGTGCGAAAGAGAGGATGTTACCAAAGGACACGATGAGAGGTCAACTGCCGGGACACGTCAACATACCAGAGCACGCCATACAACACGTTCTACAATACTCGCATCTACGCGTAATAGATGCTGACGGAACAAACACAACACACAAGGGACGCCTTTCGGTGTGGGCTCACGAAATAAATGTAGTACTGTAGCGCCATCAAGGCGTGACGTTTCACACAGCAGACGCGTTTTTTCACTCGAATAGTTCGGCGAACCTTAACGAACCAAAAACGAAAACGAAAACTGTAGCACTACACAGCAAGCAGTCTACTCACCTCTACGTAGACGCTGGTGGAGTCGAGCGCAGGTTCGAAATCGAGGACGGGGCGTACAACCTTGTTGAACCCGGTGCCCCTGATCTGCAGCTCGTGCGTGTGGGTGCGGTAGATCTCGACGTCGGAAGCCTCCACGCTGGGGTCCTCGAACACTGTGGCAACCTTAGACCCGGCCTTGGCTTGGGTGGGACCGAGAGGCACCCAGCCGTCGCCCGAATCGGCGGCCAGCAGCACGAGGGCTCCGGGCAGGGCGCTAGGGTTCTGTTGTCCATTTGTTTTTATTTTTCCGGGAGGGAGCCGTGACAGCGCACGAATGCATACACAGGCGGAAACACAAGTCACGCAGTTAGTCGATCGTGTGTCTATAAAATCTTGGGAAGGGGCCAATGCCAATGCGTTGCGACGAGAGCTCCCGGGCAGGGCGCTATCATAGCGTTACGTTCGTGACGCGTTGTTTCGGCAGAGCCAAGCATCCGCAAGACGGGTCAGTAGGAAACCTCAGCGATAGGAATGTGTACTAAGAGCTGATTGGGTTTAAAGCGATAAGAAAAGAGAGAAAGAGACAAGAGAATTATGTGGCTGCTTTGCATGCATACTTGTACGACACGGGAGGGGAACAACCGCCAGTCAGTCACTGATCGCAACGCCACCAAAAAACAGTCACGACAGGCAACAACGAAAAACGGGAAAAACATCCCGGTGTGACCCCGGCTCGTGCCTCACAAACGTACAAACCGAAAGGTAGGTAGACGGACGATAGCGCAAGACCAACACACACAAACTCAGACTGACGTCTTTTCATTGCTCGGCCGGTTACCGAGTCAATGCTCACAAAAACAAAAAAAATACATGGCAATTTCTCACGCATTCACACACACAGACACACACACCTTGCGCCACTTGCTCCCCTCCGCCAGCTCGAGAGTGAGCAGTTCGGGCTGCGAGTCGGTGATGGTGAAGTTGGTCCCTCCACCCCTGAGAGCGTTGGCGAAACGCACCTGACAACAACACAAGACAGCGCCACAATGACAATGGTTGGAATGACGAAACCGTAACTGGTCACGTGTGTGAGTGTATTACTACTCTGAGTGTCTTAAACACAAACAATCCCAAAATGACGTGCATCGACGTGGGATTGCGTGATCAAATAATTGCTGTGTGATTGTCAACAGATGAAACAAAATCTCAAAACATGAGGGTAAGAAACAATGTGTGATTGCACTATCACACGATTGCTGTTAAGTGTCTCCAGAGGCGGACCTGCCTCCGTGTACTTCGTTGTCTCTCCGGAACAACACCGCCAAGAGGCAGACCTCACGGTAACCGCAGAATCAACGGACAGAAAGCAGCCACGGCCGTTGGTTTGGTTTGAGATTAGGCTGTCCTGATGTCTGGATGCTATCGAGCAACGAGTGAGCCTACAGTTAAGCGTACCGCGTGGGAAAGGTGAACCACGAAAAACCGTGCCCAGGAAACGGACAACAAACACAAACCCGCACGCGAAACACATCGCTTGGTAACCGTGGTCCCTCCGCAGTGGACTCATGAGGGCACAGTGCCATCAAGGGGTGATGGAAGATGACGACGGAAGCAGTCAGCAGGACCAGCCCGCAGCTGGCTGCCAGCGTTTCTCAAGCCAAACAGCTGCAAGAGTTTTTGGCTCGAAGAGCCCAGCGAGCCTAAAAAAAAACAAACAAACCAGTATACAGTAGTCATACCATACCGAATGCAACAACATGGCATTGGTTACACTGCCTGAGACTCAACAGTTCACACAGCTCAAGGATTGATTCATCACTCCAAGAGCCCAGCGAACCAACGTACAACAACCACGAAGCAAAACTGCCAATCTGTTCGCAGCAGTCTCTTTGAAAATAACTACTGGTAGAAGGCATTGGCTACAAACCGTTCGAGAAGAGCAAGGGTTGCATCCCCCATCCACCCACCCGCCCTTGGCTTTCATCGGACAGACAAAGAGCCCCTTGGCTCGCGCCTTACCTTGGTGCCGTCAACGAACCCGCTTCCCGAAATCTGGAAGCTCTTGCTCGACTGGTATAGGTCCAGGCTCTCGTGGCCCTGCACGGTCACGCCATGGTGGTCAAGGTCCGCTTGCACCTCGGCGATCACAATGCCCCCGTCGTCAGAGTTGAGAGAGAGTCGACCGCCGCCCGTGTTGATCGCCACGATCTTGAGCGGTCCGGGCTCGTCGGCCCAGACGTAAGGGTTGTCATACTTGAAGTTCTTGGTGATGGAGATCTGGGTTGGCGACAAGACCTGGGGGGAGGGGGGGGGGGGAGACCGTTCGCTTGGCTATGGGGGTCCGATGTTTTCAATGCTCACACCGCGGACGTGTTTTTTTACTCCAAGAGCCCAGCGAACGTCGAAGAACCCAACAGAAAAAAGTAAGAGCCGAGCGAACCTAACAAGCTCAAAGGCAAAAATTACAAATCTGTTAACAGCAGTCCAATGCCATGTTTTGTCTGTTTGAGAAACACATTACAGAACCCAAAAACAAAATACAACTTAATACTCAGCTTTTGACTACTACCGCAAGAGGCGGAGAGATGGCACCCCCCCCAGACCGACTTTAAAATCTCTATTTTGCTCCACAACTAAGGGAGTGCGGAAAGCGCCCGGCACATCTACGGAACGCCCTCAACCACATGATTCCAAAACCACCGTTTTTGGTGTTGGCGCAAGCTTGGGTGTGGAGCGATCGAGTTCTCAACATCGGTCGAGGCGGGTGCCATCTCTCCGCCTCCTATGACATAATAGGGTATTGATTACAATTAGCACTGTAAGAAGTACCGTACCGTACCTTCTTCTGGATGACGACGCCCTCCTGCAGAGGGGGGTCGAAGTACAGCTCCGTGATCTTGGTGTTGAAGTTCGTTCCGTTGACGATGAGCCTGTTCCGTTCAAATGGACCAGTCAGCGGCCGTCGACAAAGAAGTGAACAACAACAGCAACAACAACAACAACAACAGCGTCGACATCACTACCACAAAGTCTCGACAGTCCGCGCGAGAATTGTTGTTCAGACAGCGTGCAGCAAAACACACGGCAATTGCCAGAAACGTGCGCGTTCAACGTGCTACCACTGCTGTACTTGACTTAATTCGTTCAAGTGCATCTGCAAAAACAGAACAGTGATTGATGACACACGCAACAAGGGAAAAACATGTTCTTTGTGCACTTGGTGTGCTGTATAGACATATCCCCGGTCAACTGGGCGAGGCCAGCGAATCGATGCCTCTTGACTTGACCGGTTTTACAACGCACTTGGGGGTGGTCTGCATGTAGATTGGCTTGGAGGAGGCTTCCACGGTGGGGGAGGGCACGATGGTGGCGATCTGCACGCAACACAAGCAAAACAACAAAAAATCAACGGGCGGGGCAACAGACGTAGAACATGTATATTAACAAGCGTGTGTAACAGCAGTGTTGAGAGGGGTCAAGAGCCTGCTTCTTCTCGGCGCACAGCCCAACGTCCAGTGGCGCTAGCAGGGGCCAGAGTTGTGGTGGAAGGACCGACGGCCAGGACCAATATAATGTTTGACAAAATAAATAAGTAGCTGACTCTGACGCTATGAATCCAATGCTATAATAATCCATCTTGAGATTATTGTCAACTACACTACAAGATAAAGATGGATTCGTGTTGTCAAACAAAAAAAAAGAGGGGGCAACGCACCTGCACCGAGTCTTCGAGCAGGCCGAGGTCGCCAACCTTTGCGGAGGAGAGGTAGAGTCCCGTGGGAGATGCGCCATCGTCCAGGGACATCCACCTTACAGGAGTCAATCACAAGCACGACAGCGGGAAACGCAGCACCACATGATGAGTCGTCTACAATGTACCCAGTGATGTAGACGTAGATAGCTAGCGCCCACACCTGGAAGAACTTGGGAGGTAAGAATGTCCATGCTCAACATTGCATGGAACATGGGCGCCGTTTGTCAGCCCTGTCGACCCCGCATGAATACGATACAGGTAGCTAGCGCGCAACCAAGAACTTTCATGCTACAACATTGCCAGCCCTGTCGACCCCGCCCGAGTCGTCAATGCGATTGTAGCTAGCGCCCACAATTTGAAAGACGCTGGCAGCTAGCAATTTTCATGCTCAACATCATAGGGAATTTGAGTCAGCAAGTTCAAGACTCCCTACACGAACTCCTAGTATGAACATTTAGTACGGCGGCCATCGTGAAGCAAGCCCACAAGAGGGACTTGGAGGTAAAACTGGGGGTTATCTTGCGTACGTGCAGGCGCTAATTTATCTGTACACAGAGTGGGAAAAAAGCACACACGGAAAAGAAAAACGAAGCCGTGTGCGGTGTAACTATAGAAACATGCGCACCGATGCCACCCTATCTCCTATCTGTGTGAAGGGGAGAACCCTTTGCGGAGAAACTAGAAATCAAATCAAATTGCTGACTTTGTAGTCTGATGGGTTGGCCTTCTTTATCCATAAAAAACGCATAGAAGCATGTTTATATAATAATAGAGCCCTTGGCCTCCCAGCTGCGACCGCAGTACCTCCTGGTCAGACCGTCGCACAAGGTACCGTAGGCAGCAATAGCGTGTATGCATACATGCATACATGCATACATGCATACTGAAAATTCCTAACTGCCGTAGCGAGTTTGGAAGCGTTCAATTGGAATATAACCTTACTACAACCAACACACACACAACGCGCACACCGAGCGGACATACGTACAGCAGTAGTGCTGCATGCGCTGCTCTGCTCCCAAGCGAGCGCGGCTGAGGAGACGAGCGTTCTCCTCAAGTGAATATCTTGACGTCATACCAAAAAAAAAAAACGAAATTGTAACAGGGAAGACCTTAGACAAAAACGAACAAACTTGCGGGAAAATACATCTTTAGCACCAGTAAAGGGCTCGGTTTGGCGACCCCTGTTACTATTAGTCCCTTTTTCAGCACTACTCCTGCCAGGAGGGGATAAGGTATTCAGGGCAGGCTGTGTCGGTATACTGTAGAATCGGGGTGCAGTGGTGCCACCACGTCATGTCGTGATCGCAATACAGGAGCACGTGTTGTACGGAACTTGTGTGTAAACCTACTGCACTTACTTCTTGCCGGACTGGAGGTTGAGCACCATGACGGTGGAGCTCTGGATGTCCACCTTGTAGTCCTCGCCCTCCTTCAGCTTCGGCGCGAAGGACAGCTTGAGGGAGGCGGCGTCGAGCTCGTCGAAGCCGCTGCCTGCGATGCGCACCTTAGGAGCCACGTCGTAGACCTGAGCAATTTTTTCCTCGAAGGACACCTACTCCAAGGATCACGAGCATCACGAGGCAGCGAGGGAGCGGCGGCATGATCATGTATACAAGCGTAGTGGCTACGATGAGAGATATGGTCGAGACGAGCAAAAATCACCCTCCTTAATCCGGTTCGCTCTTAAACCCTTCTTTTTGCCTGTGTGTAGCATATGTATGTGGTGTGTGTATTTCTCATGAACGGGAGAAGCCAAAAACACTCTCCTTATACATTCGATTTCTCTTACAATCACTAGGGGCGCGGGGGAGATCGCAATAACTCCCTGAACATTTCAGGAAACGCCAACATATCTCAGTTTCCAAAATTCTTAATAACTTCAGTACGATACTACAATCGCATAACCGTCCGCAGCTGTCGATTGTGTACAATGTTAATACAGAGTACTTCGTACATGAGATTGCAGTCCGTGCGATACACAACAGATTAGCGGTCGGCGACATTCCAAACGATCCTTCTACCATCGAGATCAGTGAGCTACAGCAGGATTTTTGAAGCTCCTGTGCTCTCCGGTTTTGAAACGCTTCAAGCACACAGCAGTAACGGGGAACCAGTGCCTATGTGAGCGTGTGGGGCCGCCAACTTCAGCGCAGGTCTTCCCTGACAGTCCTACTCGTCGCCAGTAATCGATTCAATGCCACGGGGTCATATGCATACATAGTCGGCCCATGTGGCCACAAGCAAAGGTGCTTGAAGCGTTTTCAAATCGGACCGCCCAGCAGCTTCAAAAATCTTGCTTGTAGCTCTCACCGATCTCGACGATCGAAGGATCGTATGCATTTGTATGGGAAATCGAGGACCGCTAGTCTGCAGTGTATCACGAGGGCTACATGCAATCTCAGACACTGACTTTGAACCCAAGCGACCGATGCGGACAATTAATTTTCGATGGTAGTTTCGTACTGGAGTTAGACTTTGGAAAACTCAGATACGCAGGCGTTTCCTGAATTTTTGAAGAGGAGACACTGCGATCCCCCGCGCCCTTAAACCGTAGCGGCTACAATACTGCTGCCGTATGCGTTGTGCTGAACGATTTTGTGCGCGTTAACTGCTGCTGTGGTGATTCAGGATTACATTGCCGTGTGGCCTCTGCCTTGGGGCCAAAAGAGGAGTGCACGCGGCTATAGCCACGGACACACAAAACACAAAAGTTCGGCGTGGACATCATAAAAAACCCGATCTGTACATAATTACTTGATGTTTTACCCAGCAGAGAGATAGTCCACTTGTGCACATACAAATAGGAGTATGTATGGGTTATAATAGGTAACTACGGCACGGCTTCGGTATGCACACAACACACAACACAAAGGAGAGACGAATTTGCATAGCCGCACAACCATGGACAGGACAAATCATTCGCCCCTCCAACGGAGAGTCGTCAGGTACAGCAGTAGATACATATGTTGCTGGCATAGTCGTACGGATAGGTATCGCAGGTAGGTATTGTACACATATTGTACACAGACCCTTGTACGCTCACGCGAGCAGCTTACAGCAGCTATGCTATGCGTGATATTTGGCCCTACTGTAGCGTTGTTTTTTTTTTTCTGGGGGGAGGGGGGGATTGTGCGCTGCGTCCGGGCAAACAACCCTTCCTTGTATGTTTTGGAGAGCGAGAAAAGAAAGAGGTCGCGTTTTATTTCTACTGCTGTATCTCGCTGCATCATACATACTCACTCCTAAAGAAGAGATACATAAGAGCGGAGAGAAAGAAAAACCGCCACCACGACGTCTTCTTCTCTGCTGCTCACCGAACACACACATGCGATCCCCCCCAACAGATTGGCTTCCCAGCTGTTGCAAGGGTAGGGTGCACTGCTGCGGGGATGGGGGGGATCCTTTCAGCTACAGCAGGCTCCATCGCAGCTATGGCCCAGCGGTGCTTTCGTCCATACCCCCCCTACTGCTGCTACTGCTGCGGTGCCAGCTTTGGCAAAAAATAAAAAAATCGACCTTTACATACGTACAAAACAATCCAACAAATTCATCCACCCCCTAAAATTGGGCAAAAACCGGAAAGCATGCGAGGGATCGATTGAAAGGGAAAGCGGGCTCCTCGTTCACAGCCCTCCCGCGCACATGCTTCGGTTCCCTGTGTGGTTTTGGAGCCCCTGTCCGTGTTAGTTCTTTCGATGGGTGTGTTGCATCACCTTCATAATCACCGTGTCGACTTTTTAACCGGGAAGTGTGACGGATGGTATGGAAAACGTGTGATTCTGTGTGCTCCTCCTGTCTGCTTCCAAATCTCCGCCCCAATCCCCCCCCCGCCTCTTTCCCTCGCGCGCACAAAGCCAGCCCCTACAAGGTCCGGCACTACTACGGCACGCCTTGTAACGCAATTCCTTTTGCGTGGCGCACATGCGCTGCCCTTAACCTTCTTTGGGTGCTTCGTATCTCTGCTGTGGAGCGGAGTAAAGGAGAGCCCCAGCAGGCACGCCAGCAGAGAAGAAGAACACGCCGGAGAAATTAGATATTTTACATCTAAATTCCATCTTTTCCGAGGGTAGCGAGCGGACAAGACCAAAGCGCAAGCAGCACGCACCAGGGAGATAAGAAGTTGACCCTGCCCCCCAAGTCTCACGCCAGAGCAAGATCAAATGCTTCCCCCCCCGGACTCACCGATGCTGACGCGAGGCCTGCCATAGAAGAAGCTAGCAGAGCCGCTGGAAGCGACCATATTCGGAGAACACCCATTTTTCTTCCGGTGTGTGCAGGAGGGCTGCAGGATGAAAACCTCGCACCCGCACACTAGGTTGCGTGCGTTCGTCTCGTCGGGTGGTGTTCAGCGCCGCCCCCAGCGTTGTCTTGCCTCCGTGCCCTCGTCGCGTTTTACGTCGGCTCTGCCTCCTCTGTACCGCTGTCCATAAGTTTGTTCCATCTCACAAGCCGCCAAGAAGAGGGCGGTACCCTCCAGTACTGTTTGCGGTGCCCCCCTGGCTTGGGATCTGTGGCGTGCTGGGAGAAACTACATGTATGCATACTTGAAATCACCATAGGCTGCACGTTCGGCTGGGGTACACGGGCAAAGCCACCCAACATGCTTAATGCTGTATTAGTGTTCTGTGCAGTCGTGCTGCTGTTCGTGTACTTGCTGGTCAAGAATTACGACGACGACTCCGTGATCAGCAGCAGCACAGCAGAGGAAGGCAGAAAAACCAAAGACTGGTCCAAGCGGAGGAAAAGGAAGGGTAAAGCAGCAGCAGGTGCGGGAGATCTGTGTTCCGTGCAGTCCCATGCCCCATGGTTAAATTTTTTGTGTATCAGGGGGGTGAGGTGCGTCGGAAGTTTTCCAGCGAAAGCAGCAGTCGTGTGTCAATAGAAAAGGCGGTGTGCTTGCTGTTTTCAATAAAATCAGAGTTACCGCTTAGACTATATGCTGACCTCCTGTAAAGGGCCACTAGTCTACACTTTAGTATTGAACAGGTGATGAAATGCATAATGCAGTACAGCCGTGCAACATGTGCCCCTTGGATATTGGATATCCGGATTGTCCACACTAAACGGGTGCGTCGCTAAAACTTGTTACGGTTCCCGAAAACTATTGTGGCCTCGACGCTAATAGAAAAAAACAAAGAAAGACTGTCTACCTTCCGCCTCGACGCTTTGTTCACCCTTGCCCCTACCCATCTGCCGTACTCGACCATCTCTAGAATAGAAAGAAACCCTTCGGATATCCGGTCGCTGCTCAGGAGCGGTACAAGAGATGGAATCCCATCCAGTAATTTCACCCCCCGGGTTATATAAACCGTAGATTGCATAAGATACCACACCCCCTGAACCGAGTTAAAAGCTCGACTCATCCACAACGAAGAGCACATACCAAAATTATTGGCACGTTTGTGGCAACTTCGGTGTCAAGTTCCCAACACTGTGTGTATTGGTACGTTTGTGGCAACTCGGCGTGAAGGTCCCAACACCATTTTCAGCACAGCAGTCAGCCTATGTGCTGCAGAGTAACGGGGCTTTGAAAATAGGTACGCATGCAGCCGGTAGAATGGAAACGTACTTCTCAAGGAACCCAAGGTTACATATGATACTTGAATGCAATGCGGTATGTCCCCGTGTTTCCCCCACTACTGCTACATATCGGGGCAAATTCAGTTACAACCCGCGTGCCCAGCAACACCCGGGTTGGTGTTGGGGTACGCATGTATATTCTCAAGAGATCACACACCGCCGTTGCAACGCTCAAACGCGCCCCACGACCACTCGCAGCCAAGAAGAGCAAGGCCCTGCCTGCTGCTGCCGGCGATGCAGCACCAGGCCGCGCTGGCGAGGACGGATCTTCTCAGAATCGGCGCGCCAAGCACCAACTGGACGCGCAGGAGTGGCCTACCCTAGGAGAAACCCCCCAACACGAGGTAGCGCTTTTGCCAAAATAACGTACGGGCCCGGAGACAAGAAACGAACGTCAAAATCGGGTCGAGGCTCGGTTTCTTATTTCATCGCCACTTTCGGGCACGGCTTTTTGTGTGGAATTTCGTATAGGATCCACGGCTGAGCCGTGTTGCTTACATAGTGAACGTAACTTATTTTTTTCTTTGAAAATTTCAAGCCTCTATTTCTCAGGTAGTAGTTCCTAGCTGCGGGTCTTGACTACTGTATGCACGCAGACTAAGTAGTGTAGTATGACAACGCCTCCAGAGCTAGACCCAGACGGTTTTATGTGTTAGGGTGTGCACTGGCGGGTTTGGATATACCATCGGGACTGCTGTATTTTGTGGTGTTGCAGATAGAAACTGATAGTACCCTGGGTTGGGTTTATGGGGCTCGGGTTTCAGAGGCGTGCTCACTGCGTGCGCACTCTCTCTCTCTCTCTCTCTCTCTCTCTCGCACCTAGTACCCTGGGTTGGGTTTATGGGGCTCGGGTTTCAGAGGCGTGCTCACTGCGTGCGCACTCTCTCTCTCTCTCTCTCTCTCTCGCACCACCTTGTCTCAGAGTCGGCTGTCCTTGATACAAGTGAGCATCTACACGGGTTTATACGAATATTGTGGTGGGGAGTACAGGTTCCCCGACCCTCAGCAAACCGCTCTTGTCAAAGGATCCAGCCCTCTTGCGTGTGTGTTCACGACGGTCTAGGCTCAGGAGGAGGAGGAGGAAGAAGAAGAGGACCTCGCTGCCCTCCACGCCGAAATGCTCAAGGCTGCAAGAAGTCACGCCGGCGGTAGTAGCAGCAGTGACAACAAGGGCATGGCCGGGAAAGCAATGGCAGCAGGGGATGGCCGAGAGAGTGCCCGTCGAAATAGCGGGCGAATCGGCGTGGGGGATAGGGTGGAGGGTCGGTTTGAGGCGGGCGCGGAGTGGTTTCCTGCCGTCGTCACCAAGGTGTGAATGTGCCGCCAGTGGCCAGTTGCCATCGACACCTGCATGCCTCGTTTAGCCCGCACTCCACAGGAACCACCCTCCCTCGATGTCATGTCCGAGAATCTCTCTGATGATCATTTTGTTTTAGCTTCCACAGCGTCCAAACGCATGTGCATGATCCGTTATTCCGTTGCGTATTGATTGTTTTTTGTACTCATTCCTCGCCCACGTATCCCAAAAAGTAGGGTCGAAAAGAGCTGGGGGGACTGGCAACGGCCAGCCATGTGTGGGACTCCCCGCTGAGCGCTGACGCTCCTCTAAGCTAGGTTTGCCCCTCTTTGAACATAACGCTTTCTTTTGAGAGGGCTGGTAGGGTAGTGCTTGTACCGAGGCTTGTTCGGCGGACTTCGAGAACGTGCTGCGTTACGAATTCGCGGCGTTCGCTAGCAACCCGTAGGGGTGTGCGTGTGCGAAGAACAAGAAGCCGTGATATCGTTTGGCGCGCCGGCTGTGTCAATCTCGCGGCAGTATTAATGAAGTCACGATTTCAGCGGTTCGGCAAGGTTGATCCACTCTGCGGAACCCCGTTGCCTGTTCGTCGATGCTCGAGAAGCTACACGCGACCGCCCCAAGTACACCAGGCCCGCCCATTCTGCCTTGTGTGACCGACCTTTGCGTGCCTGTGTGTTTTCGCGTTGTTGCGAATTATTGGTTTGAAAGTTGTTGCACGGAGGCTTCGTAAATCTGTTGTACGACGACGGCGAGAGAGAGACAAGGGTACCCCTCGCCCTCGTACGACACCGCGGCGCGACGGCGGCAATGACAATGGACTCCGACTCAGGCGACAGCAGCGATGAAGGTGTGGCCAAACCGCTTTAGTTTGTGTTGGTTTGGCCAATCAACTACTGGCTCAGATGGGGCCGAAAAAGTGTGCAAGTGGTGCCAGCAGCTCAGCGCCCTGCCGACGGCTTGTTCTGCCCTACCTGTGCTTTTGACCCCCTTGCAACCATGATGGTGCCAAGCAGTGAGTAGAGAGCCCAAGGGTCAAGTACGCAGCAGCAGATGAGCGGCGATGGTAGCGGTGAATCTCGTAGATTTTTGCTCACTCGCTGTTGTCGCACAACAACATGTAGAATGAAACCGTGGGGGATACGTCGAGTCCAAGTAATTACCACGCCCCACCTGGTGTTCCCGCCCCCCCCCCCCGGTGTTTGCCATCGGGGTTGGGTTTTCGCCGCTTGGCAACGACGTTGTAAAACAAGCCCCCCCCTCGGTGTTTGCCATCCGGGGTTGGGTTTTCGTCGTTTGGCAATGACGTTGTAAAACAAGCCAATTCACTTCGTGAAGTCGGCAACCAGGTTACCGTTTTTTTTTGCCTCCGTTTTTTTTTTTCGCGGTAACCATAATGGTGGTCGAGTAGATCTATGTTGTGCGGGGTCGAGAACCCTCACTCCGCGCAAGAGGGATGATCACACCACGTTGTGTTAAAGTGGTAAAGTATCCTCGAGGCAGCTACACAGTGCTTACAACTGTCTCTGGAAGTGAAAGCACCAGAAAATATATCAAGTCATACGCAGCTGTCATCCGTACGCAAGGAAGTAAGCACAAGATGCCGAACGCCCTTCGCAGGATGCAGCGCACCCTTCATGCGACTCGCCGAATACCTCACGGCGCTTCGCGCTTGGTGATGTGAGAGCCTGGTCCGGTGAGAACCCGGCGTGCTCCGTCCCAGCTTTGTAGGGGTGCGAGGTCAATGGTCTAACGACTACGGCATGCACGACTATGAGTACACCCCCCCCACCTGGTGTTCTCAGTTTAAACTGTCGGAGCCCACGTGTGTGTACGCGTTTGTCTAAACGCTCTGTTCCGTGTCCGTGTGCGCATCTTGTGTCCCCGTTTCAAGTAGCAGGGGCAGAGGCGCCCCGTCTACCCACGGCCAAGCAACGCTCAAAGCAAGCCGATGGATGGGAGGTAAGATTCCACCAGGTTCACTTTTTTGGCACGCACCAGCAACGATGCGTATTTAGGATGGCGTCATCGTCTAGCTGCACGTGGTTGTTTTACGCTGTCGGAGCGTGTCCTAGACCCGCTCGAAACGAGCGTCGGACCGTCTCTTTGGAGCCAACCTACTAGTCAACGGAGCTCGGCACTACTGGTTGTTCTGTTGTCGACTGCTCTCCGCTGTGTTGTGCCTGTAAGGCGTCGTACGTACGTGATTCGCAAGATGGGTGTTTTCTATGCACACTGCCGTCTTGCTGCCTAGAGCGTCGTTCATTACAATGCCACTTGTACTGTTCAGCCAGAAGCGTGACTAGAACAGCAGAACACCTAGGCTATCCATGAGGTTTCGGAGGCACTACCAATGTGTCCCAACCTCAATTCAAGCCCACGAAATTGATGCGTCGCACAAGAACGCACGAGAAGTGAAAACATGAGTTTGGTCTTGGTTTGGTACAGGCGTCGGCGGCGGAGTAGTTTGTTAGGGTTTTACGTAACCTCCCGTTGCTCGGCTGCCCCGGCTGCTGACGCTGCGGGTTCCGCGCCTCTCGCCGTTACCCGCCGGCTGCCTGGCCGGGCAAGCACGCAGCAGTTCGACCTGTTGCGGCCTTGTCTCTATCATGGCATGTTGTACCATTTTTGGTCGACGTTTCGCAGCAAGCTTCAAGGCCTGCCTTTGTTGTCATCGAGGCACCGTGTCATCATCGACGACGATGACAACAGCAGCAGCACAACCAACAGAGATTGGGTCAACATGTTGAAGCAACGCCCTGAGAACAAGAAGCGCGTGCCATCTAGCGCACCGACAACGACTGTCGCACCCATCAGACCCTAACAACCCTAACAACCCTAACAACCCTAACCCTAACCCTAACAACCCTAACAACCCTAACCCTAACAACCCTAACAACCCTAACCCTAACCCTAACCCTAACAACCCTAACAACCCTAACCCTAACCCTAACAACCCTAACAACCCTAACAACCCTAACCCTAACCCTAACAACCCTAACAACCCTAACAACCCTAACCCTAACAAGGCGGCTTTGCATGCAGGTGATGGTTCAAAAGCCAAAGAAGACGCGAGTGGAGCGTGTGGAGTCGCGCATCGAGGCAAATTCCAACCTGAAGAACAGGTTGAAACGGCAAAAGAAGCGCGAAAAGGAACTCGCCGCGAGAGAGGCGTTGCGGAAAAAGCTCTAGAACATGACTGGAGACTGTCTTCCGGTCCTTGCGGTGTGAATGGTATCACAGCGGAATTTCTAATGCGTAAGAGATATTGTGTTTCTCTGAGGACTTCCCCTGTGGGCCGTGTTTCATGAGCAAGCGTGAGATGTGGCGGGAAGAGGGAGATTTCCTCTTTTGTACGAGCCATGCGTATCACTTAGCACAAGAAGAGCAACGCGACAATAACCGTCGACGGAAATAATCTGGCGATCGCCGAGCGGTATGCCGTAAGTTTTCTGCGTTCCTTCCCCGTGGACGGCGAGCGGTGTCCGTTTCGCGGGAAACGATTGGACCTGCGGGAGGGTTAGAAAAGGCTTGTGTTTCAGCGGTTCTCCGGGATGGTTAATGGTTTGCCGTCGATGCTCGGCTTCATTTTGCTTCTGTCGCCGTGCTTGCAAAACGTAATATTTTGAGAGCTACGCATATGCATGCATTCTACGACCAAGAATATCGGGTTCTACCGCCGTACAACACGATCAAACAAAGTAGTTGACGGGTCCTACCAAGCTCCACTTGACTACGATGTTATCTATGTGACGACTCTTCACTAGCACCCACCCGTAATGCACAAACGCAATGTCCTCGCCCTTTCTCATAATAACTGCAGCTATAAGCTCGTGTGAGCACCACCATTTGTGAGCCCACGCGAACTTAAGAACTTCAGCCCCAAGGCCAAAACTAGAGGTTGTCGTAACCACACCTGGATGGACCGAATTTCAAACCTCCTGTGAGCAACATATAGCAGTATTGGTGTTGTTCCACGAAGAGGAATCCGAGCCAAATAAATGGTACTATATTGCGGAAATAAATTCAAAGCCGTCATTTTCGGCGCCGCCGTTGTTTCGTTGCAGAGTATCTACTACTGCAGTCGATCGAGCTCTGAGAATCGGTCGAGGAGGTGTGGTATCTTACGTCATGTCGCCTACGGTACCCGCTGTACAGCAGTAGACTATTAACGACGTAGTCTTGATACAGCAGTTTGACACCGTGTCACGCTGACATGAGGCGCACCTATCTATCTGTCTGTGTAGACAAAACGCAGACCCACAGGAAATAAATGTATTGCGTGGACAACTTTGGGACACAAACAATTCTCATATTTTAAACGAGGCCTTACAACGTCGGAATTACTTGCTGCTGCTGCTGCTGCTGCTGCTGCTGCTGCTGCAACGAATGAACGAATGGACGTCTCTTTTCTCTTAATAAAAATTGTTGTTCCATCCGCCGGTGGCGTCATATGAGTAGTGACACATTGATAGTAGATCTTCAGGACTAACGCATTCTGATTGGTCGGGCGTTGTTCGGCGTTGGTTCTGGCGGCCGATTCCTCTCCAGCGCCCTCTCCCCGTTCCGCATTCCAAGCACGCGGCGCAGCCGCGTGCCGCCGAGTTCGCGGCCGCTAGGCCGTGCTTTGGCCGTGGGTGAGGGTTAGGGTGGGTGAGCAACCTAGCCTTGCTCGCGTGAAGAACCTAGCCTTCCTACGTTCAACATCGGTTAGTCCTAAAGAGTTACTATCAATGTGTAGCCAAGGCTCTCCCCCAACATCCTCTGGAGAGTCCTTGTACGCTAACATTGTGAATACTTCATCTTGAGAGTGGCCGCCTCCATTCGTAGTAGTTGTTCCTGCGTTCGAGCGGTTATTCCTCTGGTACACAATGAAGATCACACATCTCAAACGCGCTCGGCCAGGGTGTGTGTGAATTCCGAGTCGTGGAGCCCCCGAATGTGTACTGGTCTCCCCGCTTGCTCCTTCTTCTGTCCCCTTCCGCTCCTCGGCTCCCTCCGAAGCTAGCGTTTCTCTCTCTTCTCCACGCCCCGGCTCGTTCTGCTTGTTGGCCATGGGGTGCTCGTCTAGCCGGATCCCCCCACGAAGTCAAGATCAGATGGAGCCAGTCCCGAGCGGCCAGCCCACACCGGCAAACATGGCGGCGGCGGGAGCAGGAGGCGTGCCGCCCAAGCCAGCACCGACCGAGAGCTCGGGCTTGGACGACCTCGAGCAAACCCGCCCCGACATCAAGACGACCCTCATCCTCAAGAAGAACCAGAGTTCCATGGAGGGCCGGCAGAACCAGGTACGGGCGTGGTCGGGCGGCGTATGTGTATTCGGGGAGCATGTTGTTGTTGAAATTCAAGTAGATGATGATGGGGGGGGTCCTCGAGGTTCTATACAAGCAGTAGATATTCTTCACGAGAAAGCAAGCATCCTCATGTGTTCGTCTGCTGTACGCACCGGCGCCGGCCTGCCGTTCCTTGCACCTCAATCATGAAAAAAGGGAGCTTTGATTCCCATCGGACAGGCAGGCTCTTGCGCAGTTTTGACATCGGGCACCTCGGAATTGACACTGCCTTCGTCCCTTTCCTATTTTTCCGCATTTGATTCTTCTTCACCAACTGGTGACCGGCGACCGTTCCTCCGACCGGAGAAAATGTGAACAAGAAGTGTCTCTGTTTAATCTCTCCGGATGTGGCTACAATAGTAGCACCGACCGTAGCGTGCTAACGCGATGTCCGCAGCGGGGGTGGATTGGTCACGTGGGGGGGGGAGGGGGGGGGCAGTGCCCGTCCATGTTGGAAAGACACTCTTGCAACAAGGACAGACTGCCGTATGCATACAAGGGTAGACTATTATAGACACTTCTGCTATTTAGCATGAACCGGTATCATGTAGAGTTGCCTGTCATAGAGGCTCCCCTCCCAGACGTTGTTGATCGGTTTTGACGCATTGAAATCTAAGCACCTTGAGAATAGTCCAGCGGTTGAATTGTGAGATTATGAGGCGTTGTGATTCACCTTTGATCTCTGCTTGAAGTACACTGGGGAAGCCACCCGCTTGATTGCATGTATCGGAACGAGGAATTCTTTTTCTTACTGCAGAAAGTGACAACCGTGCCCTGCATAACACGACGCCAATCATGCATATATTTTTTGTTTATCGACCTTATTCAATCGAGTTTGTACTCCCCAAGCAGGAGGAAATGCGCAGGCATACGTCTTGCTTCCGGTACAAGTGGTCTTGAGCCCCATGCTGTATGCATGCAACGCCCTAAGCATTAGAGCCTCGTTGAGAGAACGGGCAGTGAAAGAACACAGGAAGAGTTAAATAACCTCCTTCAAATGTTTGGAGGCGGCGGTGCAATACATTCGCGTCGGCGTATTTTTTTCCTCGGAAATGGTATGGAGCTGCTGTGTGGTAAATAGTATGATATACCCCTGAACGGCGGGGAATGCCGGTCCTTCCGGTAAAAATGAATCGCGGCTGCTTTCATCCATAAGCGCCCCCTTCGTAGGACGACTGACGGAAGGTTCAGGAAAACCTTTGTCTGCGCTGTGCGGGTGGCTGAATCTGATGTTGCTGTCTTCGGTGCCTTTGCCCCCTTGCACTCCCTCTCCCTGGCCCGGCGATGGCGTGGTGGGATGGAAATATCCGACATGTTGGCGTGATGCCGCGCGCTGGCCTTATCTGGCTCATCGGGGGTCCCGGATGACTTGATGCTGGTGCAATTCGTCTGCTGGTGCCATCATTTTATTGATGCTGCTCCGATTCAATTCTGCTGATGCCATCGATGCCGCCGATGCTGGTTCTTGGACTTCTTCGATGCAACAGTCGTTGGTTCATAACCTGGTTCACGACGAGTTCCGAAGGCGCATCACGGAGGTGTACGACATGAAGTGAGTTACAACCACGCACGCCTGTTTTCCGTTGCAGTAGGCAAGCGAACCGTCCCTTCCAGCCTCTACCTACCTTTACGGTCTGCGATCTTGTACCTGAAGAGTTCCGATCAAGGCAGGTACGGAAGGATTTAGTCCGCTGTGCATGCCTCCTTTAGTGTTTTTTCGGCGGAAGGTGGTTAGCTCCGTGGACGCTTTATCGAGGGATGAGTTCAGTCGCACGCAGTAGTAAATAATAACCCGGGGGCTACTATTGTAGGTACGATTGTTAATGTGAGTTTTTTTTTGGCATTTGACATTTTCCTGTGCATAGCAGCCGGTCGCCCCGGTGGTCTAGTTGCTATCCTCGAAACCTTCCAGAGGTCAGGTCAGGGGTTCGAATCCCGGCGTGAGCGAGCTTTTCTTGCAAATTGAATTTTTCTCTCGCTTCCGCTTCTCGCCTAGTGGATAGCGCTAGTTCGTGTGTACACAGAGGGAAGAGAGTGTTTAACTGTTCTCGCATTAAAAATCGAAGGCAAAGTACCGCAGGAGGGGAGGGGAGGGAGGGGCTCTTCTGTGTAATCACGGGTTGGAACAAACGGCACTATTATAGTGGTGTAAGCGCTGATTTGAAGTGAAGACAAAAAAAAACAAAAAATGAAAAAATAGCGTACGATGTCGGCTTCCAAGAGGATGACAGTTTCATGTTGCTATCCATCTCGTCTGTGCTCCCGCTGTCCCGCTTTTATGTCTGCCGCCCGTGCTGCTGCTGCTGCTGCTGTTGCTGCTTTGTCGTCAAATCGTGGTGATGTCGACGGCTGCTGCGCTGGACGGACGTAACTGGGTATCGTGACTGGTGATGGTGGTTGAACAGCGAAGGGTCTTTGCTTGGGAAGGGCGGCTTCGGGACCGTGCAGACCGTGGTGCACAAGGAGACTCGTAAGAAGTTCGCCCTAAAGGTGGGTGCCGTAAGGCAAGGTCTCGTGTCTCCTGCCGCAAGAAAAGGTCGTGTTCCCTGCCGCAGGACAAGGTCGTGTTTCCTGCGAGGGGGTTGGGAAGCTTTCGCGGAACAGGGGATTCGTTACCCAGGAGACCGTTACCTGACTATAGAGAGGCTTCGTGATTGGGCGGTTTTCCCGCGTGGGTGGGCGACGAGCGTTAGGTACGGGATTCCCGAATGAACGTGTGTGGGATGTTTTTACCGCCACCCCAGCCATCAGCACTCTTTTTGTCTCTTGCAATCAGCGTTTGTTGCTCCCTTCCCCTCCTACGGGGGGCTGGCGGTCGGTGAGAGTTGTCTGTTGATTGCAACTTTACAGTGAGGGAAGCCATTTTTTGGTTCCGGGCGACGTTGGTTGGTCAAAGTCGATTGGCGGTCTGTCTGTTCATCACCGACGAGTTCGCAAGTTGCCCGCTTAACATGATCGTTATTCTGTGGTAGTTATCTTGGATAACCGCCTTTTAGTTACGAATGTACTTCGTACGTTGCGGGTAAAGCCAAGCTTTTTTCCGAGTTGGACGGAATGCGTCGCCTTTCAGAGAGGTCGATGTACGGCGTCTGAACTAGGGCAATTGGCGCCATGTTGGGGTCGGTGCTTTCGTAGAATACGCCGGGTTCGATTGACGTTTCAAGTGGGGAGGAAGGTCAACCTCGGTGACTGCATGGTTCGAGAGTAAAATAGCATCCTAGAAGGCTGCCGCCCTCCAATGTCGTAACACTACATCTTCCTCGTTTGAGGGGTTGATTTGTTGCCGCCAAGCGTGAAGAGGTAAACGTGTGCTGGAGTATTTGGGTACTACATTTTCCCCGGATGGAGGTCATCATACAAGGTGGAATGCTGGGCTGCTGCAAGTATTGCCTCGAAATGAAAGAGTGCAGGCCTGGTTAGCTCGGACGCCCTAAATTAGTGCGATATTCCGAACGCGTGGTGTGCCGAGTAAAGCTGAATGAAATATACTGAATAGCTTGACGTGTTGTGCAATCATTACCCGATGCGACATCAACGCGATCTGCTCCATGGTTCCATGTTGGCGTAGCTCTATCGAACCTTGTACTACATTCTGGAACAGCATCGTGATCCTTGTACACGATGATTATTCGCGATATTTGCATGCGATCCTTTGATTTGATTACTGCCGTTCGTCGGATCGTTACGCCCGATTGTGTCATGCACGGATCCTCTGATCGTACGTGTGTTTTTACAACATTCTTGTACGTTTCGATGCCCCCGTCCTATGACGATTTTTTCATGACATGTCCCCACGCGACCTTTCCACCCGCTGTTTGATCCCTCCATGCATTCCCTGCGCTACATGTCAAAACCATCAACGGCATGTATTTACCATCTATCGACGGCACGCCGGCATGGCCTCGTGTGGGCAAAGGCGGTGGAGCTTTCTCGAGTGAAGGACGAAAAGAGCCTGAACTTCTTCTTCAGGGAGGTGGAGGTTATGCGGGTGAGTACGATGGTACACGTGAGCTGGCGTTGAAAGGGGAGGCGAGTACCATACCCTGTTAGCGATTCGCTTGGCGATACAAGTCGTGCATGTATGATGCAGATAGCGGGCCCGTACTCTTGACAACTTGGAAGTTGAGAACTCTCATGCTCAATGTTGTATCGAAAATATCTTGGAAGTTAATAACTTTTCACGCTCATTAGTGGATCGAACACAAAAGCTTTGGTACCGTTTGTGAGCCCGGTTTGTAACTCTTACACTGCTGTTATATATAGTAAAACCTTTATACGTATAGCGGCCATTCGTAGCCCACAAGGAACAGAACTCCTACACTACAACCTATATGCTTATGGCGGCTATTTGTAGCCCACAAGAGGAAGTACTGCTGTACTGTAAGAACACCAACCTCGGACAAAAGTAGAGGGTATGACGTGAGGGCGTTATCTGTACTCGCTGGGATGGCTGGGTGTGGTTTTGTCCTATTATTTCGACAGTAATAGTAGTCGAATCCGGTGAAAATGCGAGCGTGTTTCTTCTCCCCGACTCTGGTTCCCTTTCCAGGCCCGACGTAACCCATACCACCACCGAAGAGTACTGTGCCCCACACCGCGCCAAACCCGACTAACTTCAACGCGCCCCCAACTGGACCCATCCACCGCAGCAACTGGACCATCCCAACATCTGTCGGCTGCACGCCGTGTACCCGACGGTTGAACACCTGTTCATGGTGATGGTGAGTGAGCCAGGCAATCCGTCAGATAAAGTTGAATCAATGCGCGTTTAGATGGTCATGTTCTTGGCGGTTGTTGGGCCCGATGTCGTCAATGCGGGGTCCCAGGACATCTCCGTGGCCCTGCTAGCGTCGCAACCTTACTGTTGCTTTCTCTCCAGTAGCGTTGGCTAGGATAGTAGGCTTGGTTGTCGTTGGTTATGGCTTGGGTTTGGGGTTATGGCTACGAACCTCCCTCTCCATTTCACACATGACGCTTGATATCCTTGCGGAAGCGGTCCTGTCATTCTTCCCTCCGTTGTGTGGCTGAAAGAGCAGCGTTTCGCCAAACAACTATTCTAGCCGTTACCGGCTGCTTTTGATCGTTGAAGACGATGCGTTTGTGTCAGTTTGTGAGTGAAGTTTTCACGTCGGCAAAGGGTGCTGTATCCAGTAGTTGAAAACAGCGCTTTTTCTTCCCACGAAACATGGACTTGTACAGGATCTGTGTGAGGGTGGTGATCTCCTGACGACTTACCACTTCAAGAGCGAGCGGAATGCGGCCAACATTGTTCTCAGAGTTACCAACGCCGTGCGGTATATGCACGACAGGAACATCGCGGTGAGTTGCGTCATCATGGCAAGACATGCCATCGCATCGCTTCGCTTCGCATCGCATCATTGCATGCGTGGGCGTTGAGCTCCGTCTTCCAGAGGCATGTCGTCTTCCCTACCGATGGCGGTACAGTAGTACCGCCCCACGTTGTCACAATAAGTGCGCCCAATAAACACGACCTCTTGTGTTGGTTGCTGCTTCTTCTTTGTTAGGTTTTCCTTCCGATTGACGTTATTTTATTCAGTATAGTTACAACACGCAACCATGACCAGTTAACAACATATTGAAACTTTGGGGTTGTCGATTGATCAAAGCCCAGCCAAAAGTAGACGTTTTTTCCCGCTTGGCGTGTGTCTGTACTCGTCTCGTGGTGATCTCGTGGGTTGCATTTCGTGGTTGTGTTCGCGCGGCCGCGGGGCGGTGGTGTTTTGGCGTGTGTCTGTCCGTCGACTGTCCGTGTCCAGCATCGCGACCTGAAGCTGGACAACATCTTGACGGACGAGACCAAGGAAGGGGCGGACGTTAAGCTCGTCGACTTCGGGCTGTCGGCACACTTCAAGGACTTCCAGCTAGAGCACGACGTCGTCGGCACCTGGGTGAGTTTTGGCTGCCCCTTTTCCCGATCGGGGCCCTGATGGGAATGTCACGCGTTGATGATGGATGTGGGATTTCCCAACCGAGTTATGGGCCGACCCATGGCCACAATGATTCCGCGGGTAACTTGCGAACGAGTGAAAACCAAGTGCGACGGTCTCCGCCCAGTAGCTATCTGCCGCATCATCGAGGAAACCCTGCAAAAAATGGTTTTGATGAGACTCGTTTTCCCGCCGAATTGTTGTTGGGAAAATTATTCGAAAATTGCTTCAATTTTCAAGCGAATGATGTGCGACGGTTTCCCTCCTCCAGAGCCATCTACCTCATCGAGGACCAAAAAAAAAAATGATTTTGATGACACTCGGTTTCCCGCCAAGCCTTTCCTGGAAAATTCTCGGAATTTCCTATAAATTTGTTTCACCTTGTCGGTCGCTTTTGGTGGCGGCCAATGTGGCGTGATGAGGCAGGCGGTCGATGGCGCTCTTGTCCCAACTTTGGGGTTTAGTGAGAGATAGCAGCTACTTTGGGCTGTTTCAGCTATAGAGTCCGGCACCGCCAGCACCTTGACGGGCTATTGCTTGAGTTCTCGCTATGGTTAAGCCCAACCTTTTATTCTCTCCAGACTCGGGGGGGCGAAATCACCGCCAAAATATGTACCAGGTACATCTATTTTTGTGTTTTGGAATTCCCAAAAATCGAGCCGTGATGAAGCGAAAGAAGTGGAGTGAACGTTGGTCCCAGAAAGCAGAACCGATTCGAACTCCGCACAGCACCGCATCAGAGCCAAGCCAAGCCGAACCGAACCGAACCGAACCGAACCGAACCGAACCGAACCGAACCGAACCGAACCAATTGAGACGTGAGAGTGGCGATCGTTCGTGAACCGGAACCGAAGGTGTACATGGCCCCCGAGGTTATCAGCGGCTCCCACTTCCCCCGGACGTGCGACATGTGGAGCATCGGTGTCATCGCCTACCTGCTGCTGTGCGGATACCCGCCCTTCGGAGGGTCCAGCACTGCCGAGCTTAAGGAGCAGATTCAGGTGGGAGTCAGTTCTGTGGCGTGTTGGTGGTCTGGTGCAGTTGGGGTTTCGATGGTGATGTTGGGGTGTTTTTGTTTTTGTGTGTTGAGTGTTGTCGTTGTCCTTTGGCAACGTTCACGTGTAAACGGTTTATCATGGTGACCATGACTTGCGGCTTCGTCACCCATCGAAGAACGACATGCTGTGTCCTGCGGGCCGTTTCCGTGTATCTATCCCTCTCCATGTGCTCCTCTCGTCGTGGTGATGACAACCCTCGTGCACGCACATTCTCATAACACAGTGTTGTTTAATGTTCTTGCTTGCTTTGAGTTTTGGGCGCTTGGTTTCCACCTGGTACTGCAGGAGATTTGTCTCATTTTGCCCTCGTGTTTTTTTTTGGGCTACTGTGTCTTCTTTCCCATTGGCACACGTCGCGGCACTATTTACCGAGTCTCCCGAGCACGGCCTGCTCTTGCCAATTGTTCTGCAATCTCTCATCGATATGTACCTCTCTTGTCATGTACCCCCCCCCCCCCCCCTTTTTCTCCCCCCTTCTCCGGCTCTGTTTGTCTCTCTCTCTCTCTATGGGGCCCGGCGGATTCCTATTCTAAACAAACACACAGCACGGGACCCACCAATTTCCCCCCCAGGGTTGGGCCCACATCCGCGGGAAGGGCAAAAAATTCATCAAAAGCCCGGTGGGTAAAAAACCCCAAAAACGCATGAACGCGGCAAAAGTATTCATGCACACCAAGACAGTCTCCTTCACAGTCTCCTTTGGAAAGGCTTTGCCAACGGAAGCTGGCCTTAAGTGGTCAGCGAAAAAAATATGCCGCCAATGATTTATACCCCAACTCCCCCACCCCCCCGC